TCGCCGCGATTTGCATAGCCCATTATAAAGGAAGCCTGCCACCATTCAAGCAACTCGGCATCAGGCATCTACAATTCCTTCATGGTTTGATACGCAAGCACGTGTTGCTTCGACCGCAAATTCGGCGAGCGCCATCTCACAGCCTCAGCCAAGTTTGTCTAAACTCCATCACATACAATAGATTCCAGTTAACAAATAATCACTATCTTAGCAATTGATACAATGCACCACCCCGTCACTTTCAGCCCCATGCCTAAATCTTTGACTTGACCTTGCTGAACTCGATCTTGTTGATGCAAGAGCCCACATTCTCAAGGCCAACTTCAACAACGTCTCCGTCCTTGAGCCACAATTGAGGCTTGCGACCCATGCCAACGCCCTCGGGACTACATATACCGTCAGTCATAGCTTCAGCCAGGGCTCTTCGTTGATCTACTTACGTTCCGGTGAAGATGACGTCTCCTGGCAGCAGGGTAGTGCCCTGGCTCAAGAAGGAGATTGTCTTCTTAATGCCAAAGATCATGTCCTTGGTGTTGTTGTTCTGGCCCATTCGTCAGTTTTCAACCCATACTTCGTTGATGCAGTCTAGCACCCACCTGAACGGTCTCCCCGTTGACCTTGGTGAAGATCTTGAGGTTCTGAGGATCCTTGACGACCTTGCTGGTCACAATGCCAGGCCCGAACGGCGCCCAGCCGTCAAAGCCTTTGCCGAGAGACCACTGGCCGCCGCCACGCTGAATTTGCCACTCGCGGTGTGACACATCGTTGCCCACGGCGTAGCCGAGGACGTAGTTGAGGGCGTCGTCCTCGGAGACGTCCGCGGCGGTCTTGCCAATGACAATGACCAGTTCGCACTCGTAGTCCAGCGTGCTGCCGGTCTGAGCGATTGGGTGGACAGGGACCGGGTCAGTCGGTCCGGCCAGAGAGGTCACGGGCTTGTACTGGGAGAAATCAGTCTACCATTTTCTTCTTTTCTTATCAAACGGCGACAACTTACGAAGAGAACAGGAAACTTGGGAATTGCCATGTTTGACTAAGCGGACTATTAGCTGTTTTTGCAAAGCCATCCAGGGTTCTTTGACTCTCATCTCACCTCCTTAGCGTGGTTGGCATAGTTGAGGCCGAGGCATCGTACAGTCTTGACGTGCTCGGGCGCCAGAGGAGACAGCAGGAGCCTGATGTCGGCGACGTTTTCTGTGACGTCGTGCCTTCCAAAGATGTCGCCCGTCACGATCCTGGCTTGCCTCGCCTTGGCGATGTCAGTGACGCCGCTTGGGAGAATTGCATCTCCGTAGTACGTCTTGCCATCCCGGGCAAGGAAGCGAACGAGTCTCTGGTGTGAGAGTCAGTATATCGGTTGCTATCAGTCACGACTGGCCCAGCGATTGACTCACGGAAAATGAGGCCATATCTACGACTAATCAACTGCAAATTTGGGATAAGGGCGTAAGAAGAAACAAAGCAAGATACGGTACAGTAGATGAAAATATGTTGCAGATGATGGAATGTGACGAATATCGGGAGACGAGCCGAAGACGGGACGCTGTAGCGACTGGACCCCACGAACGTGAAGCCTCCGATTACCATCCGTCGACCCCACACTTCCCCCCATAGAGCACGGATTCCAGAGCTAAACCCCGGCTCGCTGTTCGGCGTCAGATGTGCCAGAGCGAACTGAATTGCGTAGCACTCTGGGGCGCCGGCTAATGCATCAGCATCATTAAGCCACGAGCTCCCGGCAGCTGTGCAGCACCATGCGTGCAGCTGTGTGCACCTCTTCCGGATGCGACTCCACAATTCCGAGGAGCTTCTTCCAGCATGTTAATGTCAATACTTCATTGCTGAGTCATTCATTCAGCCTCCAGCTCCGACTTCCGCCTTTCCTCATTGGCCCGAGCTACAACGATGGAGCTCTCTTTCTTGTGGTTGACATCAATGATTTGAGAATCGAACTTTCCCACTACGATCCTCTCATGAGCCATCAAAAAAGCATTCCTTCCTCAGTACCGCCGATTTGACATCCGAGATGGCAGTAGCGAAGCGCGGTCTTTCTGGTCTTCAAAGGGAGGTTTTGGCACTCTATCGACAATGTATTCGGGAAATTCGGAAGAAGCCAGAGGTAACATTCATCCAACTTCTATGACTTGCATGTGAGATGCTAAGATCGCTGTAGACTGCACGGCCTCACTTTCAATCTTTCGCAAGGCAAGATTGTGCATCAACTTTCTTATACGCCTACGAGCGCCATACTGACCATTACATTAGGACCGAGTTTGAAAGGTATATTACTGTCGACAAGCGCGACTTTTCCGTTGTAGAGCACTTATTGCGGAAGGGCCGCCGCCAGCTCGAGACGTACTCCTCACCGAGCATCAAGGACATTAGCCGGTGAAGGAACCGCCATCCTCATGCCAAGAAATCGAACTTCTTGACAAAGCCCTGGTAATATTAGGCAGGAATGTCGTCTTCAGAAGTCTCGGGCCACACGCAAGGGCCACACGCAAGGGCCACACACAAGGAACAGGACCGACTGCCTCCCTTCTGTATCACCACATGTCTCTCCTATGCTACGTTTTTGTTACCTAGACCACATGATACCAACGCAAATTCTTCTTTGGATCCATCTCTACTATTCCAGTGCAGCGAGCATGGACGATGCTTGATTGCGATAGAGTCTTCCGAGACTGCAATTGTATTTCACCTTGTTCACCACCGCCGCCCATTCTTAAATCTGAGCCGACAGAAGCACACAAGGCAGCAGAAGACGTCTTCCGCAAGCCCATAAGCCGGTCTGTCGAAAGTCTTCGTCGTCAGCAACGCATAATTGTTCATACAAAGCGCGCCAGCAGAGCCGGACTCCCATCCGGTAAAGCTGCCAGCTCTCGTACGAAAGTGGTATCTGCCAGAAGAGCGAGTCAACTTGTCCCAATCATCGTCTCCCAAGAGCGAGAACTAGAAAGACTGCGGAGCATTGTGGCCTCGGACGCTCTTCAGTCCTTGACACCGGCCTCTCGAAGGCGCAACAGACCCTCAATACAAAGGACGCCACCTGCGTGGTATATCGCAATGGACCCTTCGGTTCGAGCCGGTCCTAGATCTCCGAGACCACAAGGCCCTTCTTTCCGCTACCAACGTGCTGTTCCGAACCGGGCATCAAAGTCACGTCCCGTCCGTAGAAGGCCAGTCGCAGGTCCTTCGGGATCCCCAAGTCAGCCAAAATCCCCCAACTATGTCAACAGTCCATCCAAAATCCGAGGTCACCCTCTGTCGGCCATGGCGGATCCCGGTCACACCTTTCAGCACCGCGAATCGGTGGCGTCCCACGAGAGAAGATTCGGAGTTGCTGATCCACAGCTGTAGGAAGCTGTTCGCCGGAGTCTTTCGCAGCAGAGTCGGGTATCCCTTGTTGCTTCGCCATCAAATAGATCATCAAACCAGTCTCTACGAGCACCCCAACCTCCATCAAGAACCTCCAGCCGGCGCCGAGAAGTGAACCGCTTTGCACGGCAACTAGAGATATATGCCGAACGCAGGAAAGCTGCGGGGGAGCTACCGGTCTCTACCCCGACACCAGAATCGGTTGTATCGCTTCACACAGTTACAGCTCTTCTTCCGTATGAGGAACAGTTCCAAGCTGTTGGTCTAGCAGTGACTTCTGAACAACAGCGTCAGAAGTCGCCGCCCAAACCGTCTGCCAAAAAGGACATGAAGACGAAGAATCCACCAGACGTCAAAGCAGAGCCGATCTCAACTCGCCCTAAGGAAACCAGAAAACAAGCCGAACCAGGCCACCTTCAGCTTAATGGCTTGAGGAGTGCTTCAACAAGCTCATCCGATTCATCGACTTCGGGCACGCAAGTTGCCTTTGCACAACCAGACGCCTGGGAGCTCGCCTTCATTGATGAAGTTCCAGCCAAGAAGGAAAGTTCTACTTCGAGATGTTGTAACTTGCCTTGCTTTCAAAACACGAGAGATCAATCGATCGACGTACAAGTGGGCCGAACACCTCCCGCTCCTACGCCGACAACGATTGATACGCCAAACAAGATATTGGCAAAGTGGGAACCAATTTACCCCCAGAAGACAGAGGCATTGCAGGGCTGGCGTAAGTCTAGTTCTAAATTGTCGGCCAATCCGTTACTAATCCTTCCAAAGGTGAGAAAGCCTCTCGAGACGTTCGAGCCAAAACATGGCATGGCAACGCGGCACAGCGTCCATCAACCTATCGGCCACCCCGGGAGGGCCCGCCTCCTCGGAACGAGACGGAAGCACCAAGTCCAAAAAGCAAGTCTCCGAGGAAAGCGGTGCCCCATGACTCGGAGAATGACAAGCCGCCCATACCTCCAAGGGCCCAAGCTCGTACCGACCCTTCGAGGAAACAGTCAAAGGCGCCAAAGGTCGAATCTTCAGTCCCAAAGGGGATACGTAAGGAATCTCAGCAAGACGTGTTCTTAGATCAGGAAAACTCTCCACCAGGAGGCAAAGTGCTTCCTCTCGTATCCAAAAGACCAGTGAAAGCTACCGTACTATCAGAGTCAGACGAGAACAGTGCCCAAATGCAGGCTCAGGAGTCATACAACGCCCAAATACCCACAAAATCGGAAAGGCTAGCTGGTGTCGTGGACAAGCCTCTCAGAGTTTCGATCAGGCAGCCTGAACGCAAGGCCAAGGAAAAGGCCGCCCTTCTGAATGAGCCGACACAAACGGATTTTAAGCATCCGCCAATTTTCCAGTCCGGGAGGATGTTCAGAAGCCTGCCGGGACCCGCAAAGCTCACAGGAGTGGAAAAAAGAGAACGGTCAGCTCAGACGAGTGGCGGATCCATTACACCTAATCCTGCTCTACCATCCACATGGAAACTGACCTTGAGCTCATCCTCATCACTTGAAGTAGCCATGGAAGCGGCTTCACGGGAAATGGAGATGCAAGAAGCCAGGCAATCCGGGAATGGGGCCCTCAGAGGCCAAAATTTGGAGACAGATGCACAAGCTATTCCCAGCATGACTTCAGAAGTCGAACATGACAAGCCACTTCCAGAGTCCATTGATGAGGAAGCTCCCTTACCATCAGGTGAACAACCGGAACAGGGACGGAAAACACTGCAAGGTAGTGATAACTCGGACCCCAAGGAGCAGGACGATAGAGACATCGAAGACAGAGATGTTTTGCGAGGCCTCCACATCGCCATATCGGCTGCTTGTGATGAAGAGGTCGACGCATGGATCCGACAAAAGACGGGTGTGCGTATTCGGCGATTTTTGGCAGACTTGAAGGCTTTTGAAACGCTGGGCGAAGAGGATCAACCGGATCCAGCCAAGGAGCGTGCGAGGAACAGGAGAGCCGACTCGAGGAAACTCAAGGCACAGATTCGACAATCTAAAGCTGCCAGGGAAGCGAGAGCAGCAGCACAGTGACGTGGAATCATGGGATATTCTTACTGGTTGCGAAGATCGTGAAGAGGGCTTGGCTTTGTTCAGTAGTTTTAGATTCTGTGTCGCCACCTCTAGGGGTACCAATCCTAATTGTCTACCTCACTACCTAGGTAATGTCTTGATAATGCTTTCACCCTGAATTATGTCGACTGGCTGGTAAGCCGCCTTATTAAGCAATTCGAGGTGCAGGTTAAAGAGACTGCGTCACAGAGGGGGCCAGGGAGAAACTTGATGCAATTCGTGTAGTTCATTCAGCCGAGGTTGCCCTAATAGGTCTCGATCCTCGTCTATCGTCTAGACCGAATAAGTCTATCTTTTCTATCCTTTGTCCGGACCATTATCCCAAAGCTCTGGAGTACTACTACCCACGCTCTGTTCCTGCCTCCCCTGAAGGCCTCCCCTCCATCCCCTTCTCGTATTGAGTCCCTCCTCGCTGGTCATCTCTGAAATATAAACCTGGCACTCTGAGTGGTGCCTCATGTCTCTCTTGCCATGATTAATACAAATGTCTGTGAATCCCCTTCTCGCTCTCAATATTGTGGTATCGTGTCGTACAACTCTAGACAGCGCTCGACGGATGTGATGTGGGCCGCAAAGGCGGTCAATCGGAATGAATGCGGAAGTGTGTCAAATGAATCGCAATGATCTTTTTGTGACAGCAAAAAGGACATCGAATCATGAAGGCGTCAGTTGGTCCGCCATCATCTTTCGAACCTCCTTCTCCAAGTTCTCCTCGGCATTCTTGTCGTCCAAATCCTCCACCGCACCAGTGACCTTCTCGGCGAGCTCAATCTTCTTCTGGCAGGCCTTGTAGATGAGCTCCTCGATGGTGTGCGATGTCAGCAGGCGAATCACCTCCACATCCCGTGTCTGGCCGAGGCGGTGAGCTCGGTTCTCGGCCTGAATGTCGTCCTGCGGGTTGTCGGACTGGTCAAAGATGATAATCTTGTTGGCAGAGGTTAGGTTGATGCCAGTACCGCCAGCGCCTGTCGTCAGCAAAAAGGCTGTGATATCCGTATCGTTGTTGAATTCGTCGATCAGGTCCTGGCGCTCGGCGACATTGGTCTGGCCATACAAGACGCAGTGCCTGATGTTATCGGTGTGGAGGACCTCCCTTAGGATCTCAATGACCTTTGCAAATTTGCTGAACACGAGGACGCGGTCGCCGTTGTCGCGGTACTGGTGGATGAGTTCTAGTAGCTTGACGACCTTGCCGCTATCCATCCAAGAACCCTCGGGGACGTCAAGATGCCTGATACAAGCGTAATCGCGGCACCAAAGATGCAGCTCGAAGTCAGAAGAATTTTGCAGCTCCCCAATGAGATGGTCAATCCGCGGTTGTTGCAGCTCGGATTGTGGAACCTCTTGCATCAGAATCTTCGCCATCTTCTCAACCTTCTTGTTGTCGAAGTAACGGCGGAATAGTTGCGGGTGAAGGGCCGCCTTCCGAAGCTGCATCCAGCTGTTGTTTTGGTCGCTCTGGCGCCCGGTTGTTGTCTTCTTGACCGGCCCAGCCTTGAAAAGTCGTTCATAGTCCTCGTACAGTTCCTTTTGCACTCCTGGTGCCAAATCACAGTATGCGACATTGCAAATCTTGGCCGGCATGTCAGAGAGCACCTGCTGCTTGCGACGTTGCAAGATGAACGGCTCTAGAATTGTTCTGGCTCGGCTAACACGTTCGCCGTAGAGGAAAGCACCATTGTTGACATCGCGAATGGTGACCTTTTGGCTGAACATGTACTGAAGCTGGTCCATCCGGCCGTTGAACTGGAGTGGATCGATGAAGTTCAACAACGCCAGCATTTCCATCAAGTTATTCTGAACAGGCGTTCCGGTAAGGAGCATTCTCCAGCCGGCCTTGATCCTGATCAAGTCCTTGTAAATCTTGGTCTTGGGGTTCTTCATCTTGTGTCCCTCGTCAAAGATGGCTGCGGCGGGCTGCAACTCTCGGAGAGCTTCCAGGTCCTCTTCGGAGCCGACTTGGGTGTAGGTTGTCAAAACGACATGGTAATCCGCCGGATTCTCGAGCATCTCGTATGCTATCTCTCTACGTTCGGCTTGCGGACCTTGATACGCAAGAATCGAGAGGTCGGGAGCAAAGCGCTGGAACTCTCCCATCCAGTTCGAGAATGTCGACGGTGGTACAACCACAAGATTGGGCCACGGCCTCTCGCCCTTTCCGGTTTTCTCGTAGTTTTCGACAAGATGACAGATGAGAGAAATGACCTGGCACGTTTTGCCTAGACCCATCTCATCGGCTAGAATGCATCCGTAGCCACTGTTGTACAGGAGGGACATCCAGTTGAGGCCGAACAGCTGGAAGGGACGCATAGTGCAATGCCCATCCATGAACTTTGGCTGGCAAGGGATTGGCGGCTCCGAGAGCTTTTGAGCGTGGAAGCTTGTCGGCGTCAGGGGGAGATCGCTGTTAGTGGAAGAGCTCTGTGTGCTCCGTTTCTGACCCTTGACATCGAGGTCCCACCGGCTGATCTCCTGCTTAACCTCGTTGGCCTTCTTCTCGCATTCGGCTACCACTTCGTCAATGGCATTAACGCTACGAGTGAACTCCATGATTGCGTCGACCAGGGTCTCTCCAATTGGAACCTTGGGCCTCCTGCTGCGAGCGTTTGCCTTCTTGGCCACCGAAACAGCTTGTACCTCGCTAATGGTATCGAAAGGCCTCTTGGTCTCAATGATCTTTAGCTCGTCCATCTTGATGTTCGTCATGGCCGACAAATCCGCGATCGAGCTGGTGTTGATGGCTTGGAGAGCCTTGTCCTGCAGACTGTCCTTGACCGCCTCGTTCAATTCATCCTTGTTATCAAAGTCCTCGTCTTCATTGTCATCAGGAATGATGATAGGCTCGTCCACCTTATCGGCGGCAAGCTCGTCTAGAGACGGCTCGTCTTCATGAGGCTGCTGGGACGCAGGTGGAGATCTACCGGGGCGACGGCCTTGCATCAAGCGCCTGCGCTTGGGCTTTGGTGGTGAGGGGGTGGTGCTTCGAGAAGGTGTAGGTAGAGTCGGGGCATGTCGCCCAAGTAATTTTGGCTTGCTGGGTGAGCCGGGCCTGCCTGATTTGCGGTCCATGTTCTTCGTTCTTTCGTCGCCAATGGTGATGCTTGGCTTCGTAGAGCTCACAAAGCTGTTGACTTTGGGCTTCAAATGCCGACCATCTAACAAGTAGTTGATCGCGTCCTCAACGTTATTGTGGCATGCGGTCAAAGCTTCCTTATAGTATTGAACCGGTATCGTGCCGTTGAGCGCCTCGGAAACCTCCTCAATCTTCTTTTGCAGCTTATCCACCGAAACGTACTCGAAATTCGCGACGTGCTTCTTGAAAGATGTCTGGCTGATATTGCCACGGGAAGTTCGGTCATCTTCGTCATCTGAGGAGCCTTGTATAAGCACAGGCTCTGCCGAGGGCCTCTTCCGCGGGTTGGAAGGCGCTTGTGACTTGGGGGGCGGCTGGAATCTTGACCCAGGGGGCACAAGGCGTGAGAAGTAGCTGGATTTGTTCTGGAACGGCGAAGATGCGGGAACCTCAATGACTGAACGCGAAGAGGGAGAGGAGGAATGATCGGGTTGCGTCTTAGCTTGGGACGCGAGTGACGTTCGGTTGACAATCTGCGTCGCTTGTGTCTGGTAAGGGGACTCGGGGATCGTCTCGTCGGCGAGCTCGTCGGCATCGTTACCGCGACGAATGCCTCTAATCGGTGACGTACCCATTGCCGAGCTACCCACCGGTGGCGGTGAGGAGCTGAGAGTATAGTTGATCACCATGGCTTGTATAGATGTGTTTGTTGCTTGTTGGAAGTGAGGCGGAGATTGAGAAATTGACAAGCGGAGGTGAGAAGGCGGACAATGGTCAAAATACAAAGGCGGGGAGAAGTTTGCTCAAAGGAGAGAAAGACTCGAGGACTTTGCTACTGTGAAGATGCCGATTGTCGAAAGGCTGTGCGGGATAATTAACACTATATCAGGAGAAATCGCAAAGGGAAAGAGCAACAGATTGGGCAATTGCAGGTATCCGTGCCGCCTTCCAAGATGTGGGCGCTCCTGAGCAGACTGGCAGGAGAGGACGAGATCGATTTTGAACCGACGGCGGCACTGGAGTGGGAATTTTCTGGGGCAGATCGCAGCGCCCCCCCCCCCCCATGTCCGTTGACACGGGAATCCAAAGAAACGCGCTTAGACGAATCCCCATAGCGCGTCCGCACGTGGTTGGCGTCATCAATTAAAACACCGTGCGAGCAATCGTCGCTTCGAACTGTAAGCGCTGTCTTTTGACTTCACCTCTCGTTTTTGAGGATAGCTCGGCAGTAAGGCTCAGTGAGCGTGACCATCAAACTCATAAGCCCCAACCGACGTCCATCAACTCCGTGTCTTCCGCAACGTTCTCATTGACTGTGAGCTTATCTCAACACCGAACCTTGACACCTTGTAAGTTTTCTGCCTCTTAGCACAAGCTGTACGAGACCAAACGCTTACATCTTACTCAAGATACACATCATGGCGACCCGACGCATCGTGGCCTCGGAGAAGACCATCCTCGAGAAGGATGATGTGGTTGGTGCTAGTCCCGCTGCTGGCGACAAGTCCAACATCGCTCCTGCTGTGCCAATGGATGTCATTTTGAAGCTTCTTGGATTCACGTTGGCCATGATTGTGTTGCCCATCGGCACCTACTTTGCCACGGTCGACTTCCTTTTCAAGGGTAAGTAAGCTGCACTCGTGTTTCCGCCCTGTCTCATTACACTGCCAACCACAACTGGACGCACCCGATTAATCCGATAGCCAGGCAATTCAACATTCGCCGGCGCTCTTGCTGCTGTAATGGCCAACGTGGTATTGATCAGTTATGTTATCGTTGCCATGAAGGAGGATCAGAGCGACCAGCTGGAAGCGAAGAAGCAAGGAAAGAAAGACCGTTGAGAGTTGACATGGGCGATGGGCAGTCAATCGACACCTTGGTGCCTGGGATGGCAGACTGGAATGCATTTCACAGTTTCCGTAGGAATGACAGTCGTGTCAAACCCCTCTCACTAGATGTTTTTACGCTGTTCATGGCAAGTTGATCTCTATTCAGGAGATGATGTCCCGTTGACTTGGTCTTCTTCTAAGACCTTACTTGTTTGAAAGCCACGTCAGAATTATAATAAGCCCTATTAAATTATCCAACGCCTGAACCGCCAAGTCATCGCCGAGAATTGTGAATGAAACAAAATTTCTCTCGTGGCTGGCCATTGTCAAGTCACCATCAAACCTCTATGGCTGCCAGCTTTGCCCTCGCAATCGTTAGCTGGATCCTGTGCATATACCTCGATCCAACAGTGTGTATTTCGATGGGGGGGGGGGGGTTCTTTTTTTTCATTCAGAAAATAGATAGCCATACCTCCCGGCTATACTCTCAAGTTAATGGCCCACCTCAAAGTAGGAACGACCGTCTCGTCAGAGGAGAGGGGTACTCCGGCAACTCCAGGCCAGCTACATATCAGATATAAGCCGGTCTCTGCCCGAGAATACCATAACACATCCAGAATCTAAGAAAATGGGGGGGGTATCGACAACGTTAAAACGAAAACCAGCTCATATCTCATGCTTTGTGTTGTTCAAGATGATTTGCTGAAGCGCTTAGAAAACCAGCTCTTTCTCTTGGCCGGCTCAGCAGGTCTAGGCTGCGCCTGTTGCTGCTGTTGTGGTGGGGAGGCGCCAACTGGTCTCCGAAGGACGTTCGCGCTCTGTTGCTGAGGTACCTGAGCTCCGTTGTTCACAGCTTGATAGGCATGTCCTTTTCCATTTGGCGCACCATTGTCGAACTTGAGAGCAGACGCCTGATGCCCTTGGTCCTGGCTGAAACCGATGCCGTAATCGTTGGCGGGTTCAGGCCTACGGGCCGGGCCACCACGCTCAATGGAGCTGTTGTCGCTACTAGTGGGGTCGGTATGGTAGCCTGCGTGCTCTCCGGAGCTTCCACTTGCGGCGGCTGATGTAACAGTCTCGTATGAGCGGTCCTTGTTAGGAAGAGGATAAATGTTCTGATCGCCGCGTGCGTAGCCATTCATGTGAGGATCGGTTTGCGTCCTGGGAACTCTCTGTCGGTAGGGAATGTTGTTGCCGCCATTGTAATGTCCCCCGCCATTCTGGTATTGATCGTAGTGACTTTGCCGATTGGATCCCATCTCGATCTGGCCGCTTTCGGGACGGAACGAGCCCGGGCGACCGTTGTAGTAACTGTCATGGGGATGGCGTCCTCCACTGGCTATGCATTGGATTAGCCACGCTCTGCTATCAGTCTGTGAGCAGATGAACTTACTGGCATAGTAGCTGCTACGTCTGTTCCATGTTTGGACCGACTCTGTATCTGAGCGAATGTAAGACTGTCGCCGGTCCCGGTCACGGTAGCCTCCATCGATGGCGGCCTCGAAACTGCGAATGGTATCAAGGGGTCGTTCCCAACGACTACGTGTGGGATTAGATCGGTCGGGTTCGGCTGAGGAGCATGGTCAGAATAAACTGGCAAGATTTGAGAATTCAGAGCTGGAGCATACCGATTGGGGCACCGGTGGTGTCCTTGTGTTGAATGGCGCGCAAAGGAGCCAAGGAAGTCTTGGTCATTGCCTGAACGGCGGCTTTGGAAGCTGTTAGATATCTTACAGCAGACATGGCAGAAAAGTGGTGACATACAAGGTTCGGCCTCACTCATGGCGACGGTAGGATCAGCTTTGCTGTGTAATCTCTTTGCTTCCTTCTCTTCGGGTGTCTCGTGGAGGTCGATCTTGGGGTGACTGCCAGAGCTCTTGTGGGATTTGTTGGACTGGAAACTGAAGGTTCTCGGTCGGGACTTGGAGCGTCTATGAGGAGGTTGATTCTGGGCGTGGGATTGGGACTGCGCCTGGGCGTTGGGAGGCGGTTGAACAGGCTGTGGCTGGTCGTACTGCTGCTGATAAGGCGGAAACTGGGACTGTTCGTTGTCGTATGAGTCGGGAGCTTGTTGGTGATAGTGGTGATTCGGTTGCTGGTGCTGGGGAGGCAGCGCGGGAAGTGGATGGTGTTCAGCCATGACGGGCGACTGGGGAGGGTGCTACTTTTAATTGATCTGTCTCGCAAGCAGGCGGGTTCAGTGGGCGCGGACCTGGTCTCGGCGAGCAAGGTCGATGGATGGAGCTATTGCGTGCCTTATCGCGGGTCAGCAAGGGGAAGAGTGGGCGGGTGGTTCCCAGAGGTCGCTAGCGAGGCGGCCAAGGTTGCGTTTTCCAGGGGTGAGCGTGAGATGATGGAGCGCAGTGGAGCGTTAGAAGGGGCAGAATGGTGGAAGGGAAGGGGGTTTGGGGAGTGCCGTATGCCTGTGTGGTGTTTCTGCCGACTGCTGGGATTGAAAGTGGATGCAGAAACTAGCAGAGAATGGTGTACCCGTGGACCGGGCTGTTTCCAGTGTTCCACTTGTTGACGATGCGTTTTTGGATGAGAAGCAAATCTTCGGGGACGGAGAACAAGCAGGTCGAGAGCAAATTGAGGTGCTTGTGTGCTTAGGAGATGTTTTTTCTTTCTTTCTCAGATGCTGTCGCAAGGAGGCAGAAAAGCAGGGAACCGGGTGTCTCGAATGTGGCTGGGGGGAGGTTGAGTCGACAACCTGGAAGGCACTTGACTTGGTACGAACGGCAACGGCAACAACTCCCAGCCGATGAAGCTGCCCAGGTGGGCTGCGGTGTGGTTGTGGTGTCGAGCTGGAAGGAACGGCCAGGCAACCCGACGACAACAGCTATCCAATGGGGCGGCGAAAAAAAAAAACACCAATGACAACGACAAACCCCAGCTGAGGGTACGGGAACGGGAGCAGTTGCAGGTGCAGGTGCAGGTGTTGGTGCGATGGAAGGTGCTCACGGACAATTCGGTACGTACCTTGTCTTTTTTCCTGGGCCGATGTTTCGATCCTCGGTACGGAGTATGCACTGAGATATTGCTGCAAGCTTGATGTACCTAGCTGCAACAGAAGCAAGAGAGAAAAGACGGGAGGGAGTCTGAGTCTGACTCTCGCGCTCTCTCTCAAGTCTCAACTCTCGGATGGATTCTGATGGGATTTCGGGGGGCAACTTCGGGCGAGCGACGCCAGGATGTTTGCTGAAAATGCGCTAGGGCGATTTGAATTGGAGGCGTTACAGGGAAGGAGGGTGGCCGCAATGGGTTAAGCGCCACGTCTTTTTTCGATGGGGTGGTCGGACGCTGGAGTCAGGTCCGGCGACGTAGGGGAAAAAGTGGTGACTGGGGGGCTGGGACGCTCAGGGACGCCGGGGCAAGCAAGTGCTGTCCTGGTGTCGTAAACCGGGTCTGCCCAGACAGCAAGCGCCTCCTGCTTGTTAATGAGTGTCTTGGTGATGTGATTTTGCCGTTAGGTGTCTTTTTCCGCCGGCTAATTTTTCTTCTGTTTGTTGCTGCCAAAATTTTCTGCCCAGGTTGGAGAATTGACGTATGTTCCGATATAAGGATTTTCTGGTGTTGCTTGGTCGGCTGCGGTTCTTGCCTTTTTGCATGTTAGTTCTGTCGCTCTTTCCTTCTTTCTCAGTATCACCGGCAGTTGCAGCAGGGTGTTGGGTGAACTGGCAGGGTTTCCATCGCCCTGAGCCTTAGGTAAGAAGGTTTTTACAGACAAAAGTACGTACCGATATGTATCCTGTTACCGGTACCCGACTTTACTTTTGGACGGGAGGGTCCTTCAAGGTCAACCAAGTAGCTGCTTCTGAATCTGACGTTCTGCAGCCTGCTTCGGACGTTTCGTAACGAAAAACGAGTAAACTGGGTATTATGTTTGATATTGCCTGTTGATCGATGATCGAATGCGACGTAGTTGGCGCGTTTGCAGGCGGTTGGTGGTGGGCCCGGACGGGCTAGGACGTGGAGGCCGTCGATCGTTCGCTTGATGTGCGTGGTGGAACTGGATGGGCAATGCTAATGGCGGTGCAGAGCAATGCGAAATGCTGTCGTTTCCGAATGGCCAATTTCGCCCCTGTCGTCGTCGGTTTGTCTGTCTGGAGACTATCTGGCTGTGGCTGACGTCAAGCGGCGGTAATCCTCGCGTGTTTCAAAGCGCCTTCGCGTGGTAGCTCAAGGTACGGTATGGCGGAACACAGCTGTGTCCTTTTCCCCTTTCCTTTGATTTGCTTCTTTTTTTTTTCTTGTCTTTCTCGGCCCTTCCCTTCCAGCCCTTGGCCTAATGCGTTCTGGAATGGAATGAATTGGATCGAGAAACTTTTCGATTGGGAGTGCTTCTAAGACCAGTTTGTCCGGTCAAAAAACACGAATTTTGATCTTCGCTGCGTGTCGTGGGTTTTACGTTCTCGGGTATGCGTTTCTGCTCGCTGTGTTCCAATGTCAGCCAATCTGTATTGCATCAATATGGTCGATGGGGTCAATGTCTTCTTCATCCCACGTCGCAGCGCCACGCATCGTGGCACGTCCTGGCGCCGCAGCCGACCGCTGCTTGCAGATGATGGACGGCCCACGGGGGCCCAAAAGAAATTCCTGTCTCTGTGCGTACCTGGTTTCCCTTCGATGGCCCCTTGCTACTTTGATTATCCCGGACGTGGACGGGTCGCTTGTCGGATCTCTCCGAATAGTGAGGTTTTATCAAATTGCCTTATTATAGATGGTGCTCCGGAAATTGGAAGGGCGTCGATAGCGTCCAAAGGCAGGTCGACTCAATGAATGATTAGCGATAAAAGGTCGAGGTGTCAAATGATAAGGTATGGTGAGATGCCAGTGTGCGTGGTCTAGGCCGCGAGTGTAAAAAAGGGGATTCACTGTAACCCTGCACGTGTTGAGGCAACGGGGTGGATTAATACGTCGTCGAGTGTGGACGTGAGTGAATTGGGCGAGACCTCTTGGTGGTGCAACAAGGCCGAAAACATAAGAATGGCCAGAATTTCAACGCCAAAGTGTGGCGGGAGGCCTTAGATATCTATACGAGCCTCCAACTCAGACGGGCCAACGAAGGAAAGGCCGGCGACAGAGTGTGTGAGTGCGCGTGTGTGTGACTGGAGGGAAGGCCAGCTGAACAAGGTGGTGTGCAGTGACAAGTCGATGATGATCTCGACGACTAAAACGTAAAGGTGTGGCCTGTCCTGGTCTGGCCTGTCACGACATGGCATGGCAACAATAAGGTAATAATAAGAAGCTCCGGTGGTACCTATCGTACCTGATGGTCCTTCCCTCACGGATACCCGTACCTTCTTGCCATCAGGTATCCGTAGCTACTAGGTGAGGTACTTCATAGTCGTACGAAGCTTTAGAGAAGGTCGGCGCCGATGGGTCCCGCACTTACTTCACGGCAAGGGAAGGAAAGAGTGAGGAATTTTTTGACTTCGGGGACCCTTCTTTCCCAAGGTCCGTTTATGGCGTGGCCTCATGAGAATACCTAACGAAAGTAGCCATGTACCTTTAGTACCGTACGTAGGCACACAGGGAATGCCCATCAAGGGATGCGGCCTACCTAGCAACTAACACAACCACACAACGTACGACACTCCCTCCGCGATGTTCTCTCCAAGCATGGGATACAAGCTCTACTTCGAACAGCTAAACTGCTCCGTAACAGCCCTGCTTGCCTCGGCCGCACCCTGTTCCCAAATGCCGGGCTTTCCATTGAATGACAGGTGACCGCGGGCAGCGAGATCAAACCTTTCTGATCTGCTTTTTAGTTGACATGGGGCCAGGATCTATGGAGTCAGAAGATACGGATAATACCTAGAAAGATGGCCGGTATCGAGTACTGCTCGGATGCAATGCGCCAACGTTATCAACAACATTCGAAAAGGTCCCTCCCCCGCCGTGCCGGTCTTTCTGGAAACGCAACACGGCAGCCTGCCTGGCACAAGTTGGAACTGCAACTGGCCGCGAATCGACGCAGAGGAAATCAAAGGCCTGGCCTTGCATTCCATCTCAAGTTCCAACCATTATTGCCTGCCTCTCGTCGACCTCCACCCATCTTTTCCACCTTTGCCGTCCCCGCCCACCTCCCACAACCTGCCACAACCTCCCCAAGCACGTTCCTGGCCTGGAACTCAAGCTTGACGTGTGTTGCCCTGAGACTCCAAACCGCGTGCGTGTACCTTTCAGAATCAGACGCAAGACATGCACCGGTCAATCAACGGACTCTCAACCATTGACAATAAGAGGGGTGCTCAGGTGGAGGAGAATTCCTCAAGCCCGCGCCATTACGCGTTTCGCCCCTCATCAACCATCCCACCCGTCCATCCCGTCCAACCCCAGCACAGTTACGAGGTTCCATCCAAGAAAACCTTAGCCTTAGTCCTGCAGGCTTGTAGACGGACGACAAGACCCGATCAGCCACCACTGCCACTGAGCCCAACCAGGATCGACACCCGGCAAGCCATTACTCTGCAGTCACTATTGAAGACAACCGCACACTCTCGACTACCTACCTATCATGGTAGACGGTATCTGTACCTACTGTACGCGCCTGCTTGGGACTTCGTACATGCAAATCAGCGAGGTCGCTACCAGACGGGCACGACGGGCTTTCGTCATTCCCATTCCGCCGCTTCGTTTCTCTGGCTTTAAATTGATGCTACTACAAACTCCCACCTTCGCTGTCCACTATACTCGGCCCTCCTTCCCACTGGCCAGCGTTGTTGCTGAGCGATATGCGGCCGCATGGGAGGCGTGCGTTGGGGAAGCGCAACAGTGGTTCAGTCTGAAACTTGACCGCCTCTGCATCATTCAAGCATGTAGTCAATCATGATTGCCCTTTCTGATCCCGAACGACAATTCCCTCGGTCAGTAACTCATGTGGTTTGTCTGTCTCGCGGGAGCGGGACTGCGTTGCGACTCATGGAAATTCTGGCACAGCGCCTCAAACACAGTCAGACAGCATCTTTCATCTGATCATCGATCCTCAGATGCCATAAGGACCGAACAGCATCTCGACAATGGACCCCTAAGGCCGAGACACACAATCACTTGGATTGGACGCCAAAGGGCAGCGAGGATCATGCCCGTCCCACCGCCTCTTCCTCTTCAGTGCTCCACGTTGTCAACTTTTGCCCAGCCTGGCCTTGGGGTGAGATGTTGACCACCCCTGCAAGCCGGTGGCCTTCGTGTTCAACGGCCGGCCATACGAAGGCTGGGCCGTAGCAGTACTGCCAGCCTGCAAGGTCCACTTACAACCGAGAATCCGGAATATCAACTTGGCTGCCAGACCGCCGCATAAAGCGTTAGTCTTCAGCTCTAGTCGTCAACTCCCGCGGATTCCATATTGCATAGTCGAGCTGCGCCTCAATCACAGCTGCACACATGACGCGGATCGATGGCTTACGGTACGCGCACAACAGATACGTGGACGAGTGTACGAAGTACGGGTACTCGACGGAGCCAAGTTGCCTCCACAAGGCCTTGAAGTCTTAGCCGCTCACTCTTCTACAATCCGTGCCCCGTTCCACGGCACCGCATACCAGCCTGTAACTCGGGTTTGATTCGCCTGCACTGAGTCTTACAATCAACGGCTAAGTCTCTGGGGAACTCTTCTATTGCTTCAGGATTTTTCTATCCATCTCCAATATTCTCTGATATCTCCGGCCTTCCCGTATCAAAAATGTTGCGCCTGTCTGCCTAGGAGACAGTGAAGAAACACGAAGTCGTGCGAAGAGTCTGGACAAAAGTCTGCGTTCTGACAGGGTCCTTTCGATATTGTACCAACTCTGTATCCCTTCAAGCCGGCGCGGGGTTGCCACTGTCTCTCAATATCGTGTCTGATAATCCCATGCTTGCTGGATTAGCAATACCGGTACCAGCGTGCACTTGGAGTCGATAAGTCACTTTCGCCTTTTACACACACTCACACACACATACACCACCAGACCGTGACAGGTACATCGAAGGAAGGAAGGGTCTTGGGGCCCGAGCTCCTGAGTAATTCTCTCCATGTTTCTACTGATCGGCCAGCAACCTTCCAATTTTCACCGCAGAACAACCAGGTTTCCCCCGTCAAACCTGAAATTAAAATAGAACAACGCTTGCCAGCCAGCCATTGACGCTTGCTAGTTTTGTCTCGAAGCATTCTCTGATATCAAAATGCTTGGAACGGGCACGTCAAAGAGGGGATTTATCACCCTGCTCATCTCACCCTAGTCACCTTGCATCTTCACGGATGTTGAGTGGTGTTGCGGCCTCGAAAACCGGAATCTACGTTTAATCCCATGCTTATGCCGACATCCCAAACCAAAGATCAGGAAAAGCAGAAAATCGACCAGAAGGCAAAGGCCAATGGCATCGCGCCGACCTAATACGGCCGGGGCTTCCGACGGCTGGTACGGTAAGAGTTTGTAACCCTCTCCAAGCTCGCGCAATCGAACTACAGGACATGCCAGCAACTGCGTCTATGCTGCAGCCGGGCGGGCTTGAGCAACGGCCCCCTCCCACCATATGTGCGAGACCAATTGACTGGCCGCAGCATGCAGGCTCGGCCAGGTTCTATCAAGATCCCGTCGTTCTTGGAGGCGCAAGTGTGGTCTTTACTGCACGCTATCCACACAAAGTCGGGACGGGTTTACTTCCGTTCCACACCATATCCCTGGCTACGCACCCTCCTCGGCCTGTTTCGCACACCACACCTATCGTGGATTTGGAAAGCCCCGATTGTTGGTCGGGAAATCCCTCCTCAAGCTCTCGCCGCTAGGTGGGTTTCGTCCTCTCTCCATCTCCTCCCACCTTTTCATGATTCGACTCCATCGTCGCCCTGCCCTTGGCGTTTCGCCCAATCTCCAACCTTTCGCCTTGCCTGTGAATACTTTTCAGCGTACCCAGTTATCAACTTATCTAGATACCCCTCGTCGATGGTCATCACCGCGCGAATGTAACCTCGACGACTATCAAGTGGCTGAGTTTCCAGACTTCCCGAACCAACTTACTTGTTGATGCCCGCGCGCCTTCTCAGGATGGCACGCACAAGGGACTGATCTCGATCATCCAATGCCTCGATGGCGCAGGCCAGTGGAGGGCGGTAGTTGAGCCCCAACAGAGAGACTGGAAGTGGTTGCGTCCTCCCCCCCCCAGTGGGGTGGGGGGACAAAGTGCCTGGGCAGAGAGAGACCGGGGGTTCCCACGGACAGAGCAGAAACCAAAACCTTGGCGTCCGACGTTTCCCAGATGAGCGGGCTGCTTCAGCCCGACGGGTCTTTTTTTCTTTGATCCCATCTTTTGGATACTTTTCACTTTTTTTTCTCTTTTCCTTCCATGACTTCTTCCTGAAACTCGGGGCTCTGTCAGTCGAGGCGCCGCTCAAAAAACATGGGACCGTCATCCTAGCAAGACCGTTGGCTCTCAGATCGCGAGGCTGTCGCGGTCGGTCTCTTCTCTTTTCTCGCTCTTTGACTTTACACGATACCATTGTTGTGTGTCCGTACACATCAGCCCTTTTTTCTCCATCTTCTGATGTTTGAGAAGTCTTCAGACGATATCGGTCCTTCCGGGGTTGGCCCTTTTTGTGGTTGTAATGACACAATCTCAGGGTTTTTGGTCCTTTCCCCCTTTCTACAAATCGCCTTACTTTTTCGGGTCCTTGCCCAAAAAGTCTAGTTGAGTGAATTGAGTTTTGGTCTGATAGTGTGACTTGACTTGAAGCCCGAGGGGGAGCGGGGAAAAAGGAGGTGCCTGACCTGACTAAATGACTTCAATTCTAACTCTGAGGTCGTTTTAGTGTAAGTTTTCTGCCCCTCGTCGGATCAGAATGCTGCGGAAAAGGTTGATGGAAGTTAATTTCCTGTCTGTTGCTCCGGCCGTATTCTCTGCCGAGAGTCACGTACATTACGTGACCTCTTTTTCTCGCGAACGTCTCATAATGAGGTCTGATATGGGAGCCGAGGCATCTCTCTAGTGGGAGTAAGAGCAAATTCAGTTTTAGTTGAGCAGTTGCCGGTTTCCCAAACAAATACTGAGTAGCTGGCTTGCCGACTTGTATGCGATTTGCTGCCTGTGGTGAACAACTAGGTTCGCCGTCTACTCCAAAAAAAAAAGCCATACCAAACCGAGGTGAGGGAATCCTCTGGGACAAAAGCTCAATTATCTTGTCTAGTCCTGATTTCCTAGTACAATCGCCCGAACGAATCAGTTCAATTTCAGTTAAAGTACTCGCAGTCTGTCCGTCTATCTGTGTTCAAGAGCCTTGTATTCGAATATTCCAAGAGATGTAGATCAGCCAAGTAACTTCGGGTGCCCTTCTCCATGGCAATTCCTGTTGGTAACTCACTGTGCCCGTTGCAGTTTGCAGAGAATCCTGTCTCGCGATCAAGCTAAGACAAGGACACACGCGTTGCATATGATGGAGGCAGCTTGACGTCTTGGAGACCTTTTCTTGATCGACCCTAGACTAATTTCATACTATATAACACCATACCGGCAACTGAACTTGTGCCAAAGTGCAAAGCATCATTCGTTCATGTTGTTTAGCACAACCTGAAGGCGAAGTGTGTCATATGACATAGTTGATGATACTGATTCCGTTTCCTGATTCCGTTTTTGTGACATAGGGCCATCACTATATCGCTGGACTACCTTATATGGATGTATGATGGATGTATCGTCCAACTCCTTCCCAAACCCCAGTTCAATTCCACTTCATCCGAGGACTTTCTATGTTACAGACAAGAGCCAACACAATCTAGAAATCATAGGAGAATAACCACCAAAGCTCTGAGAATAGGAGGAAAATACATAGCGACACTTCTTGGTCAAAGTCATCATGTCCTGTACTCCACGACTGACCCCATCTGAGGCTTGGGCTCTCTGCTACGCATCCACATGGCTTTGCCATGGAATTACTGCCGAAGTTGGAGATACTGTCTGCTGAGGACGGCAGTTAGTTGTTCTGGCATCTCTAGGGTTTCTGAGCCACTTCCGACAAACACACCTAAAGCTGTCTCTCAACTAAGAGTATCACCATGGAAGAACGGACCGGCCGCGGGGAGCTGACCCCAACTATAAGCATCATCACTCGACGGAAATTCCCAGTGCCCGTCGGTTTCTCCCATGGCCATTGGATAGTTGGCGATAAGCGAACTGTCGTCTATCATGACATTGTCGCTGGCGGCACCACTCATGACAGAAAGCAAGTCGCGGAAGGATTCGAATAAGGTCCTTTGGCTACTGCTTGGCGATGGTATAGCCGGCGCCCTCCCAGAGGAAAATGCTGTTCCTGTAGAATTGCGTCAGTTTCTTGTCTAGCAAGGCCTAGATCTCTTTAGAGCCGGTTTACCTGGACTACCATCTGAGGATGAATCCGAAACTTGCTCTCCCTCGGCACCAGAGGTATGCTCCTCGATGAATTGATCGAAGAAGGTTTCCATAAACGTATTCAAACCACCAATGATCCGTTCCCCGTCAATACCCAGCATGCGGTCAGCATGGTCAGCCAGCATCTCCGCCGCGCTTTCTTGCCAGTAGTTTCGCATATTCGTTGCCACCTCACGGGTAGGGCTGTAAACATAGGGTGATTCTGGTGGCGGCATATCGGGGAATACGATGGCCCAGACGGCGAACCACTGCTCCTTCACGGCGAGCTTGCGGTCTACCCTTTCTTTGAGCTCCTTCTGTTGGTCGTGGGTGATTCCATCGGGCGGTTGGTTGGCTCGCTTGCTGCAGTCCTGTTGCCTTGTGTGACACCTTTCCTCAGTTTGCGTCTCGAACTGTCGACCGCACCTTGAGCAGTAGTGAGGCTGCATGTGCTTCCGATACAGATGCTGCTTCACATCCCTGATCCTATTCAGCTGTAACAAAGAGCACCGATTATGGGTGCGTTTGTCTGCCTTGTAAAACGGACAGGCTAAGCTGAGATCATTGTCATTCTTGTCGGTTGCTGGACCTTGAAGTCGCGATTTCTTCCTTCTGGACTCATCCGGGAATTCGTCGTCGTCACTCTGATCCTGGCCATTGGTTTCATGCTGACATGCGCCTCTTTTGCGACGATGTGGCGAGTTTCTGTTTCCACTCCGGTGTTCTGAAGGCTTTTCTTCACTGGTTTCGCGGCTATGTTGGTATGTGTTGCAGGCCGGGGCTGTCTTCGATACTTGTCGTGAAGGCGACGGGCAAGACCTGTTTCCCACAGCTGGGCCAAGTTTCCAGTGACAAGACCAAATAAAAGGCTGAGCATCAGACGCGAACAACCATTGCAGATATACGACCAGGCCTCTGCAGGTTTCAAGAGATTTCGCCTGGAGCCATCGGTATCCTGTTAATAACGTGCCCAGAGCCTCTCTTTGTAAGTCAGTCTTGTCTGCAACTTGAGAGGAGATCGGACTTATGTCCCGACAGCCTTTTTCAGATCTGGCAAAGTAAAACCTTCGCTTTCCAACGGGTATCGCTGAAGAGGCATCCCGTCCTCGCTGAATGACGAAATCTCTGCTGGCTGAGTTCTCTTTGGGAACTCCAACAAGAGAGATGGGTGAGGGCTTCCCACCGGCCTTTCGGGGAACAGTTTCAGAACTTCGGTTCTGGACGGCTAGAGAATGGTGCGTAACTCCAGGCTTTTTGCACGTCTTGATATCTGGAAGAAAGTCATGCAGGTCCATGGCTATGGGGGAAAAGGCCCCCCAGGGAAATTGCGGCCCGTAATGAGCAAACTCAAGAGAAGCTTCCGAGTCGAAAACTGTGTTGAGAGGCAGAACTTCTGTCGTATATCTTCCAAAGTCAACCAAGCGTTCTTTTCGGGATCCCGGTTTATCAGAACGGATTTTTGACTGGAAGTTCCGTTGTAATAACAGCCTGGTACCGAAGTTCTCGGAGGTCAGATGAGGTGCATTGGTCAAGAGACGACCTGCACGGTAGTTGAGAGCATGGGACTCCGGAATCTCCTTGGTATGTGACGCATCTCGCGATAGGCGTGGAAGTTCTGCTCCTGGATGTATCGAATTTTCCATCCTGCTTGTGTAGTTCTGATTAAGGGCCGCAGGCCCAAGCTTGCCAAGTTGTCGACTAGTTGCTGCCAGTTTCGTCAAAGAGTAACCTGGGAGCGCTGCTTCCCGATCTTTGTTAGCAGGAGAAGATTTGCTAAGAGCGAGAGTCGCCATAGAATTGGCTAAGGCAGCTGAAGAGCCTTTGATCGAGGACGTAAGATCCAGAAGTTGTGCGATAGGCAATCCACGCCGAGGTAAGAGTCCGAGACGAATAGAAACGTCTTCTCATGGACTGCTAACATCCGCAGGGCAGCGGGAAATATGGTATCCTTGGCTGATGATGCGTCCACATCGGCAGTACACGCCGACCAAAACCTGTGGAAAGTTTGGGCCACGACAGATTCCGCGGCAATTTGTCCGGCCAAGGGATAAATGAGCAAGTCGACAAGCCGAATGAATGGCTTGATGAGCCCAGGAGAAGGGGTCCACGATAGAATAATTCCACGATAAAAGGATTCCACGGTAGCAGGAGTCCACAATGAAGGTTTTCCACGATTGATCTTGTCCTGATGGCATCCAAGGTTGGGAGCTTCCTAGACATCCAATGGTCATCCACGATTGCCTATGCAAGGGCACAGGGTCCACGTATACGATCAGGCGTGTAGTGGGTGTTCGTTGTCGTTGTCGTCGATAAGGGCGTTGCTCTATTGAAACGAATCAGTACAAAGTGGATGATGATAAGAAGGTAAAAGCAAAAATCATGGATCCCATCTTCCTGCTGTTTAAATATCAACCCCAAAGAGGCAGGCCCATGCAAAACCCAACGGCTCGAACAGAGAGAAAGAGCACAATTGTGCTCCCATTATTCGCTGCACCTCCTGCTTTCTCACTTCCATTTCCCCAGGCTTGCTCTGCATCGTGCAAAACGTTGATTGGCCTTGCCCCCCCCCCCCCCCCAGTCCATGTAGGTGATCCTTCGACACACACACAAACACACACCACCCCTTCCAGACCCCCCCGGGCACGCAGCTTTCTTCCACTTCATCATCAGGCTGCGTTTAGCCCGAGGTATGGTGAGGTAAAGTAAGGTAGGTGATAGGTATTTGCTGACGAACCTGACATCATGGGCGTAAATTTCCAAATCTCATGGCAAAACGGGGCGCCTTCGTCTCCAGCCGGAAATTCCCTTTTAACCCCCCCCCCCCTCTCCTTCTCCCCCTCCTAAGGCTCTGCACCCTGATGCAATGCTCATGCAGGCTGCGCCGAGAAATATAAACTCCAAACCAATAATTGTTGGCTAACCATGTTCACTCGTCCAGCTGAAGAAAGAATGTTCTGGTAACAACGCCAGGGGCATCTCGCATGTCTCGGTAGCTTGTATTCATTGGCAGGTGCAATTGGTGACGTTGTCTAGAGCCGGCGTGACAAGAGTAGCAGGAGAGGAGCTCGATAGTCGCTTCCAGATTCAACTCTTAAACCAAATGTCGAAAATTTGGAGAAAAAAAAAGTCTGGCCCCAGCAATTAGTCCTCGCGGACAATTACTCCTTTTTCTTTCGTCCATATTGCCGTCAAGGCTAGGTCATTATCTACAACTCTAAAATGCGTCAGCTTCCTGTAACGAGCTTGAAGATATGCTTGTTCATTCGAATAGGATGTATGTTGATTTAGTTTATACAGGGGGCGGGCAAGAGGGAATTCTTATTGTTATGACTAGACCTTTGACCTGTAACTGTACAAGCCTCACGGGTACATCTCTGGTAAATGCCAGCTTTAAATCACTACTATTTCGCGCGGGGAGATATCTACTTTGTGACTTCATCGGGGGTCTACACGCAAGCATTGGACCCAAACCAAGCCTCCCAGACATAAGGGGCTTACCAGCCTGATGTGCTTGGCACCAGCTGGCTTCAAGCTCAACCATTCAAGCCTCCATCCATGGCAATCAAGTCACCCTCATTTCCTCATCACGAGATAGATATGTATACCTTTGAGATTAAAAACAGGATTTGACATTATCAAAACGACCGGTGTACATTACACATTGTTCCGTTTACCATCCGTGGATGCACCGATCAATCTAAACCAACAAACGACCTTGGAACGTATGCTTTTTCAGTTCAACAAGAAAAGAAGAACCCCATCAAACGCCAGTGAGAACTGCCCAACATGTCCCTGAAAGGAGAAGTTCCCTTATTTCGCTTTTTCTTCTCTTCCCCTTAGACAATGTTGTAAACCCGCTTGGCAATCAGGTAACAACCCATGCCGAATGCCAAAAGACCTGCGGTAATCGCCCAGAACCATTTCAAGTCCCCTTCGTACTCCTGGCCGGGAACCCACACGTTCATGCCCCACAGACCAGTGATAATGTTCATGGGCAGAACAATGGTACCCAGTACGGTCAGCTTGCCGAGGACATCGGCCGTTTGCTCCTGTCTCTCGTTCATGCGAATGTTGATTTGAGCCAGGTAGTTGCCGTGAGATCGCGCAAGGATCCTAAAGAGAGGTAGTCAGTTAGCTAGGGTTAGATCGGTCTTCAAGGCTGAATGACTTACTTTTCATAGTGACTGAGATTGGACGTCATGGTCACAATATGATCCTGAATATCGCCCAGGTACAATCCAATATCAGACTTGGGAGCGACATCCCAGCGTTCGTTGCAGCGCTTTGCAAAGCCCTTGATAACGTCTGCCTTGTTGCCAAGCAGACGGTACAAGCTCATCACTCGTTTACGGCAGTCACCCACTCGGCGAAGCATATCGCCTTCAGATCCCACAGTTGTTCCTGTATTGCTAGCCTTTTCGTCAAAAACATCGCTCTTGGAGTTGCTAGTAGAAGAATGCAGCCTCAAGATTTCGTCATCAATGTCGTCGACTTCGTCCTCAATGTTTTGAATCAATGGCACAAACACATCGGTAATGTCGTCGATGATTGCGTAGGAAATCCAATCAGAGTTGACGATAAGGTAGTCCTTCAGCTGACGGATACGGCGGCGGACATTGGCGGGATGCGGGGTCATAGAGAAGTGGAAGCTGATGACACCCTCGCGGAAGACAATGACATACATGTTGACGGGTTCCAGGTAGTCCTCGCTATTCTGATCCTGGTCAAAGGATCGATAGTTGACAAAGTAGTAGTGGCGGAATAGTTCGACCTTTTCTCGCGCCTCCTGAACCATGATATCCTCAGCTGTAAGCGGATGGATACCAAAGGCCTTGGACAGCACCTTCATCTCCGCCTCTGTTGGAGAGAGCACATCGAGCCACCACACAGGTCGTTCGCCGTACCTGGGTGCGTTTACGAGCAGCTCTGGCGTCTGTGTCGTCTGGTTGCCAACAACCGGCGATCTGATACCGGTAGGCGTACGATGGATAGACCCGGCACGAGAGCTACCACCCGAAGTTTTATCAGGAGACCTGATGCCCTCTCTTCTCTCGTGTTCAGATTGAGTGTTGGCGAGTGACGGCTGTCTCGTGGGAGCTCTAGACTCTCCGTTTTGGCCAGTGTGGGAGTGATGTGTAGATAGGGGTGGTAGACCACCATCGTCTTCACTATCCGTGCTCTCGTCATCGGAGAGAATACGCGGATCTGGGATGAACAACTCTTGGAAGTTCCCACCGGGCTGCACAAGTTCTGAGATTGTTTGACTGTGGATGGTGCTCTGGAACTCCTCGTTGAAATAAGTGAAACGATAAGGAGCATCTTCCTCGGCACGGTACCACTCCCGGGTAATCGGTCGTAGTCGGCCGTTGATGAGCTGAGGTTCAGTAATCCGCTTGGCGCGTCTCTCGTCGCTGCGTCCTTCCTTCTCGAAGCGGCTCCATTCTTCCAG